ATGAGCGAATGTGAATTTTTTTGTTAAATAGTGGTTCGCGAATGGATCCAGTTTGCGCATGGGTTAGGTTTGCGCATGGACATTGGTTTTGCACATGACTAATGGTTCGCGTATCAATAAGGTTCACACATGGCCTCGTTCCGCGCATTGTGTTAGTTCACGCATGAACCACGTTCACGCATGACCTAGGTTCACGCACGACTAGAGTTCGTGCATGGCCTTAGTTCGCGCATGAACCAGGTTCGTGCACGAATAGAGTTCGCGCTTGGCTTCGATTCGTGCATCAAAAGAGTTTGCGCATGATGACTATTCATCATTATTTTTGTACATGTACCTGTTGAATTACATATAGAGAAGAAAACAAGAAAATAACAGTGGATGAAATGCAAATCTGACATTAAGGGTGATAAGAGAAGAGAGAAGGAAGATTGATGATAGTGGAGAGAAGTTTGAGAGACTTGTGTGCAAGGTGAAAAGTGAGTGAGGTGGGATGCATAAAGTTGTTTATATAGACGAGAAAAATTCAAAGTGTTAAATGGCTAGAAAATACTCCCATCAACGGGATAAAGCTCAAATTGGACACTATGGTTTCATCAGAATCTCATATTTGACACTAAGGTTTCAAATGAATCAAATTAGACACTATGGTTTCATATGTATCCCATATTGGACACTAAAGTTTCATAATTCATAGGTTTTGGACACTCACTTATATTGGATAAAGATCAAATTGGACACTCACTTATATTGAATTATGAAACTTTAGTGTCCAATATGAGATACATATGAAACAATAGTGTCTAATTTGGCCCATTTAAAACCTTAGTATCAAATATGAGATTCTGATGAAATCACAGTGTCCAATTTGAACCTGGTCATATGAAGACACCATTGCAAGAATGTGGGACAGTCCGAGAAAACGATCCTGAGCTCTACCGGTATCCACACACACGTGACTGGATCGGCCGCAGGGAACGTGCTAGCGTTCTCTTCTTTCTTCCTCTCTACTCTAGGTTTAAGAAGTGAATTTTAACTCTTAAAATTCGTGGGTCTATATGGCCCTATTTATAAGAGGAGGAAAGAAGGGGCTTTATAGCTAATAAAACCCTTAAAGAGGCCCTAGCCCAATACCCTTTGAAACCCTATTTCGAATTGGGCTAATCGGGCTATTTTAATGTTATTAACAAACATTAATGATCCAGATCACTTAGGTGTGTGACCCTGTAGGTTTATATATTATTGGCAGTGGGCTAGAAAATTAATTTGAGCCTCACAAATCATAAGCGGCCTCTAGCAAGGCATTATGACTATCCAAAATATATAAATGTCAATTAAATTTGACATAACCTTTTAATGATTAATTTGTACTAATAGTTCTCTTTTGTCAAACGATATCTCAATTGAGACAAAGTTAAGTCGTGTCATCCTTGTTATTCTCAATTAATATTTCTTGATTATCAAGTAAGATTATTCTTCATCAAATGACACTACATTTGAGCAGGGCCATGCTAATTAATCTTACTTGTCAAGGGGCCCAATAGATATCTTTCTCTCGCTTTACAAGAGTGACAAAAACTATCTTGATAATTCACATACTAGTACATGGTTTATAATATGTACAATCACCACCTTTATAATTACCCATTTAAAGATAACATTTAATGGTGTTAATACATATTAATTCTCATGCAAGTAACCATGATTATCTCAAGTATAATAATATAGCACCTCATCATTATTGAGGACAACACTGATGCCATATAACCTAGCAGTGTCCTCAAGTTGGGTCTGTCCAATGAACTTGTTCCCTAACAATCATCTATGTTATTAACTTGATATCTCTATACCCATGACAAGTGGAATATAGCCATCAGTTAATCCACATATTGGTCTATTAATTATTAATGTCCCAAATTAATAATATTAGACCAGGGACAATTAGAATATTATGTTTATTTTAAAATGTAGCATTCCACAATTAAGTCACATACTTAATTAGCTACTAAACAGAATATTCAGGGACTTAAATATTAATAAAGAAATCTCACAATAATAATTAACATAAAATGAGTTTGTGACTTTCTTAATTAATGAGCATTAAATATTTATTGATAAATCATAAACTATGATTGTCCTAGGGCATATTTCCAACAGGTAATCTCTACATTCTCTTGGCGGTGGACTACGTGTCAAAATGGGTGGAAGCAAAACCCACCAAAACGGATGATGCCAAAGTCGTGGCAGATTTCTTCAAATCTCACATCTTCTCAAGGTTTGAAGTCTCACGCATTTTGATTAGCGACAGGGGCCACTCACTTCTACAAAAAAATCATGAGTGCCTTGTTAAAGAAATATGGCGTCACTCATAAACTCTACACTGCCTACCACCCTCAAACCAATGTCCAGACCGATGTATCAAACATGGAGTTGAAATCAATACTCTGAAAGACAGTGAATCTGAGCCGTAAGGATTGGAGTCTACGAATGGATGATGCCTTGTGGGCATATAAGACCGCTTTCAAAATTCACATTGGAATGTCGCCTTATCGACTTGTGTTTGGGAAGGCATGTCACCTTCCGGTCGAACTCGAACACAAGTTCCAGTTGGAGATGTTTCGAAAGATTGTTCAGAAGGTGAAGAGAAAGAGGTTGGAGATTCTGTGCTGGATTGGGAGGATTTCATTAACAAAGGAAAATCATTTAAAAGTTGATTTCTTTCGAGTTCAAGAACTTTCTTTTTCTATTTAAAAGATTCCTTTAGATTAGCGAATTTGTTGGCTAAAGGTGAAATGTAAGCTTTTCCTGTTTCAGGTTCAGAAATTAAAAGTTCCTCTTTATCTTGCACAGTCTCCTTTTATGGTGGGTAAGATAGTAGTTCTTCTTTAGAAGTCAAAGGGATCTCACAGTTCTTAAACTTTTGTTCGGATCAGAATAGTCAAAAGGGATCTCAGTTATTGCTTTGGTTTTCCTCTTGTCATCTTCAAGGGCATGATTTCTTCAGCTCCAGTAAAGGCCATAAGCATGGTCAATCCTAATCCCATGTATCTGATATAATAGAGTTGAGTGCAATTAACTCTTTTTAGATAATGAGGATTAGAGAGGCCTAGACCCTCTTTGGAGTTGTACAAATGAGTGTCCTTAGGTTGATTAAGGAAAATTGTTTGATCTATTTGATCTCTTTTAGCTATCAAATCTTCAAGTTCTTTTATTTTTGTGTAAAGAGAATCTCTTGTGGTAAAAAGAGTTGTGTTCACAGCAAGCAATCTATTCCTCTCAAGCTCTGAGCTACCAAGTATCTTAGTCAAGTCACAAGTCATTAATGCTCGCTCCTAGTTTTTTATTTTCTAGGGTTAGCTTTGTGATCCTATCTTGTGACTGAGTTATTTTGACGTTCACGAAAGATTTCTTCTCTAACTATTTTACTAGGACATTAAAATTGTGTTCTAATCTCCCTTCAAGCTTCTTAAGAAGATTATTAGAATCAAATGTAGAACATAATGATGAAGAGTTTGAAGTTCTAATCTCCCACGGGTCTCAACCATATTATTATTATTATTTACCTGTTCATCACGCTTGAATATATTGAATATATTGTACTCTATTTTATCGGTAGCTCTCCTCGTCGTTTCCTTCCATATAATCCTTGACCCAATTCTACAATATATAACTACTACTTTATATTACTACAACTGATTTATATTAGACACTTCCAAAAACTGATTTATTGATATGACTAATGGATCCACCATCAATGTAATTATGTAAAGAACCGCATTTCCATCTCTTTTGTCAAAGTAAGCATGAGACTATATATTGCCCCGGCCCAATACTCGGAAGGTTGAAGAAATAATAAAATATTTTCAAATTTATACTACCGTATTAAATAACTTCACACTGACTTATTTAATTGAATCAAGCTTGAATTATTTTTACAATTCTAAAAACATTTGCTAACCCTCTCTTTTCATACTATAAACAATCTATCTTTTCATAAAATAAATGAATAACGGAAATAATACTAATCTCAATGACAAACATATTTACTATTAAATAGTTTCCCAAAAAAGGGATTAAATAATCTCAAAGTCAAAATACATACTCCGTATATCTACTAGTCTCAATGACAAATATATTTCCTATTCTCCCTTCAATTTTAAGTACTAGGAATTTTTAGTATTTAGACTGCAGAAGTTTATCAAACACTTCCTGTCATGAATCTCATGATAGTAATATACTAACATGTGCGGCCACTTAAAATCTAAAATGATATACTCTCAAACTCCCATGAAAATTGGTAAAAGTGCACATGAAATAAACATGTAAACATTATGTAATTGAGATTTGTGCAGAGAAACTAGAAATAACAAGAAACTAGAAGATTGAGTAAGAAAATTTGGTCAAAATTTATGAAATAAGGGAATTGGGAGGTACAATGTTTTTACTTAAGACTAAAATTTGGTAGTCTGGTCTGTATTGATCAGGTTTGATAAATGTCTAGTCTTTGTATATTTTATAACTATGGAAGTATGGTCAGATCTGAAACTAACTGTCCAAGTAAAAATATCCTACTAAACTTGACATTGTACTCTCATTTTAAAAAATTAAAATAATGTTTATACTTTTCCTCCTTATTGTAGAACTCCTATCATAGTTTTGCAATTGGCATAGAAGGGGACAAACTCCTGCATATCGACTTCTGTTAGCAGAAAGACAAAAACTGCAATAATTCAACGGATGGATTTTGAAGTTGACTTCTCATTTTTTTGTCTTCTCATCATTTTGACTTCTCATTTTTGTCTTCTCATTATTTTGACTTCTCAGTTTTTGACTTCTCATTTTTTTGACTTCTTGTTTTTGTGACTTCTCATTTCTCAATTTTCATACAATAAAACGGGTAAAACCGAAAGAAATGAATGGAAAAAAACCATAGTTGTTATTACCTACCCAAATCTTAAAATTGATACGGTAAATGGTGGTTGTTAGGTAGTACCTTGGGTCCTTTTGCAGTATTAAGAACATTGTTTTAAGTGCAAAAACAAATTGCAGCAAGGCTGTCTTCATTAAATTATAAACACAAAATGTCTGAGATTGTAAAAGAAGGTTGGAACAAGTATCTCCTCCAGCTCCAACTCCATCCTCTTCGGACCAAGGTTATTTTTCCTGCTTTCGCTAATAAATGACTGAAGTTATTCATAATTTCATATAATCATATTCCATCCATTGTATTAGAGATCATCTTTTCTTGACACTATTGTTTTACACAGGCTATAACAGCTGGAGTTTTGGTTGGGTCTAGTGATATAATTGCTCAAAAGATTTCTGGGAATAAGAAGCTTCAATTGAAAAGAATACTTCTATTAGCTGTATTTTTAATTCTTTTTTATAAATTGTTTTCTTGATTTCTTGGCTTTTCTAGATTGATGGAGATAAAATTTACTGATATGGGATGTGTGATCTTTGTTGTAATTGCAGTTATATGGGTTTGCATACTCAGGACCATTTGGGCATTTTCTGCACAAGTTGATTGATTATCTGTTCAGAGGAAAGAAGGGCAACAAAACTGTTGCTACCAAGGTCAAACTACTGAAATTAACCCCCCATACATTTTCCCCTGCAATTTTTTACTTTTAATAACATTATTAGTTTCCTAGATCTTGTGCAGGTCTTGTTGGAACAGTTAACCTCTTCTCCTTGGAACAACATGCTTTTCTTGATGTACTATGGCTTAGTGGTTGAAGGTATATGTGAGGCCATCAAGGACATCTGTTTTCTTTCCTAAAAATCTAAACATCACCCAAGCTTATTACTCTGCATTTAGGGTAAAACTGGGTTTTAGCCTAGTAGAGTAGTAGTTATGCAGTTTTACTAATTTCAGTCTCTCAATTTTAGCTTTTTTTATAATCTAGGTGTTTTAGGCCTGACTCAGTAGACAATCTCGACCCTCCAGAATGAATGGAGCTTATGAAAGCACTCTCTCAATTTGTCATTATGCTGAATATTGTGTAGGAGTACAACTGTACAAGTCTAGGGTTTAAATAAATCAAATAATTTGTGCTCGATTCGCGATTCGAATTCGTATAATACAATTCGAATTCGGAAAATTCAAATACAAATAAGAATATTAAATTTGATTCGAGTTTTTTTCAAATACAAATACGAATATCAGTGTATTCGATTCGAATATTAATCAAATATATTTGATTAATAATAATGGTAATATTAATAATAACATTAATAATAATAGTAAGAACACTATAATAACTTTTAAAAAATAGCAATACCCTCAAAGTGTAGCCCATATATACATTTATGCATACAGATTCCGAGCTCATTTGTAGTAAATCAGAATATAAATACAAATCAAAGTTTTGGTCCAAATGTCTTTCAAATACAATACAAATTATGACAAATCTTCATGTCAGGCCGGCCTGACGGGATGCTCCGTCCGGCCGAGCCCGTTTGGGCACCTTCCCGGTGGAAGTTTTTTATGAACTTTTTTGAGCATGTTCCTCATCAAGTCTAGTTTGTCCATACCAAATTTCAGCTCAAAATTCGATCGGGAAGGCATTCAAATTATTTTTTGAAGTGGACTGCGTCAAAGTATACATATAAAACTGCAGTCAACTTCAAAAAATGATTTGAAGGCCTTCCCGATCGAATTTTGAGCTGAAATTTAGTATGGACAAACTAGACTTGATGAGGAACGTGCTCAAAAAAGTTCATCAAAAAATTCCACCGGGAAGGTGCCCAAACAGGCTCGGCCGGACGGAACATCCCGTCAGGCCGGCCTGACAAGAAGACCACTCTACAAATTATTATGTATTCGATTTGAAGAATACAATTAGAGTCGTTAGACTTTTATATACAATTATCAACTTATTTCACACATCATAAGTATAATTTCTAATATGTGTGTGTTGGTGTTTATTTCAAAAAGTTTAATTTGAAATAGATTTATATTTTTTAATCATAAAATTGAGTCACTTTAGTATATCATGCACAATCTAAAAATGCATTGATCCATTAAATTTAAATTCTTAAAACACAGTTTGAGTCATAGCATGCATTTACAACATAAAAAATATAAGAAAAATTATTTTCAAGTGATATTTGACTAATATTTAACCTATGCTCAATTCGATTCGATATTCGTATATGATTCGTTAATTATTCGTATTGTTAAACAAATACAAATACAAATCGAAATTAATATTTGTTTCATATTCGAATTCGAATTCGTATTCGAAAAAAATTAAACAAATACAAATACAAACTCCAACTATTCGACTCGATTCGGTTCGTTTACAACCTTATGTACAACCCCAAGTAATAACTGGAAAACATGAGCACAACCAACGTGAATGGAAGTGTCCACTGACATTTTTCATATAATGTCTTTGAAGGTCTCTCCGTCCCCTCTTAGTTGGTCATCTTTGACTTTTCGTGTGATCCGGTCAAAGATGTTAGGCTTTGACTGATAATATAATACTCCGTATATGTATATACGGAAGTGTTTATGATATGAAAATGTTCTTTATCAAAAGTACTATCATAAAAGTATAAAATTTAGAACTTTACAAATATATAGTTGTTAAAATGATTGATTAAAGTTCGTCATTGACTAGAAAAATCAAAGATGGCTAACTAAAAAAGGACGGAGGTAGTATGTTTTAACTTGACCCAAAGTGATGAGTAATATCAACTCAGTAAGGTCATGTTTGTTGTCTTAACATATTGTGTCGCGTCAATTAGATTTTAAATTAAAGCACAATCCGTTAATAAATATTGGATAATCCTTTTCCTTATTTGGGGTGGGGTTAGATTGAAGTCATTTTCTTAACACCTTGTTTTGAAAGTGGCTTGTGCAGAAAAATTCAATCCACCAATCGCCATACTGGGGTATAGCCAAGAACAGTTTTTGCAAAGTTTGACGAGAGACTAAGATCGTTAGAACTTTTAAGATGTAGAGTTTCATCCTAGAAATGTTATGAAGACAGATTCAGAAGTCAAAAAGACAAAAACCTTGTTTTAGAGTTTGTGTTTCTGTAATTGGCCAGTGTGGGATGGCTTAACAAGAACTGGATAACAGATGGACTTTTAAGAATAAACAATCGTGTTTATATCATATGAAATGGAACATGTATCTGGTTTTGCAGGGAGGCCATGGAGTCTTGTGAAAAAGAAGGTTCGGAAGGACTACCCCTCTGTGCAGTTGACTGCTTGGAAGGTATGCAAGTTTAACTTTGCAACCAGCTATATGTAGAGGGGTAAGTTTGGAATCAACATATTCAGGGGCGGAGGTAGGGGGCTGACCAGGCCCGGCCCACCCCAAGTTTGAAAAATGCTTGTATTTTTTAGTGTAAAAGTCTAAAATTTTATCTTGAAAAATTCTTTGTACTGACCAATCCCAACTTTTCCTCCTGCCATACGCCCTATACATGTTTGATTATTTGTTAATGTTAATACGGGGTTCCATCCTAAAAGGTCAACTGATAGGAGGAGTAGCCCAAAGTCTTATATAATGTTTAATTGTTTTATAGTTTTCCGGTGTGGGACAAATGCTTTAATAGTTAACTAGATCATATGATGTTGTTACATGCAGTTTTGGCCAGTAGTCGGGTGGATCAACTACCAGTACATGCCCCTGCAGTTGCGTGTTTTATTTCACAACTTTGTTGCCTCATGCTGGTTAGTGTTCTTTCTACAAAACTTGCCAAGGAATATACTCGGTTAGCTGATAAAATAGAAAACAAGGCCAGAATTACCAAAGTAGCTATATAAAGCATCAGACTTCTGAAGAATAAAAAAAAGCTCTGCCTAACCCCACCCCAATTAAGCGCTAGCCGGGTTCTACATGTGTGTTAGAAGGCCCATGTGATGCTTGTAACCATTACAGTGGTCTACTTCCATCCCTTATGTTGGGTTCCAATTTATAAAGTTTGGCAAATATTAAAATTAACTTTTCTTTTAAGTTGGTAGTTTATTGTTAAGTTTAGTTATTTAGACAATACACCAAGAGTTTTATCATACTTCCATCACTTTTGTTGCTGTGTTGTAGTTAAAAGAAGTCTAAAAAAATACTCTCTGCCCCTTGAAGAACTTTTTGTGTTACTTTTTGGAACCTCTCAAGATAAAGTCCTCTTTTAATTTGGTAAAGAGATTCTTAATTTCTTAACAATTTATATTACTACTATTGACTATACAGTATCAAACATTGTCAGAATGGTAAGGTCTAGAGTATTATCTACCCTCAATAAAAATGTATTTCTGGATATTAAAGAAAAAACTCTTATTTCTTTAAAGTAGGCGTTATACAAAGTATGAAGTTATTTGATACACTAAGGCAGTAATGTTCAAACATTTATGTAAGTTTAATAGACGTCCATCTACTTGCTGCCTCAAGGCTGTCAAACGCTTTTTAGAACATTGACAGCGTCTAAGGTTGCAAATTCTTTGATGCAAGATACTAATATAATTACTAAGCTATCATTGTTCATATTCCCCTCCCTATAATTAACAAGCTGTTATTGATCATTCTCTCTGTTGTGATATGTTTTAGGGCAATATTTTTGAATCTGAAAGCAAGATCAGTTGCAATTAAGAAGGCATAATTTGGATGGTTAAGAGACTAGACGATATCGTTGTCCTAAGCTCTTCCATGTTTCATGATTACTCTTCCTAATTCTTACTATTCAGTTCTCTTTTTTAAAAATTACATTAATGAATTCCTCTCTTGCTTAGCTTGTGTCACGTCTCTATGTATATGAGGTGCAGTAAATTTTATTTCCTTCCAATACGCACATAAAATGTTAAACCACACAAATTTCAAATTCGCCATTCATTTTTAAAGGCTATTTTAAGCCAAAAGGAAATAGAGTGTGTATGCAATCTTCCCTGCCATTTTTCCACAAAATTCTTCATTCTTTGTGTACATGTTTTAGTTTTTATTTATAATCTTATCCACACTTTTTTAATAACCTTCTCCGAGATTTCTAGAACTAAACTAAATAGGAAATATGTAATGTTATCTAAAAATGTAAAATCTATAGATGAAAGGGAAGGAGCTTGTGCGACTTCCAAATTTTCCAATAATTTAACATTGTACAATAATGTATTTGCACTTTTATAATGAGCTCAAAGAGCAACTTTTATTTGTATTTCATAATTATAAGAGTACTCTTTTTTTTTCTTCAGTTTCTATGGCCCTTTTACAGATTAGACATCCTAAAGCAATTAACTTAAGGATATGTTTGGCATATCACTTCAACTCAAAGTGGGCTGAATTTTTATAAACATACTAATTATACCAGAAGTAGCAATGTTTGGATAAATAGGTGAATTAAGCTTAGGCTGGAAAGACTAGATTCAATGGAAACGTTACCAACATTAGTGTATCTTCTTTTGGACGCGGAAACCAAAATTGCTAACTGCTTCACTCCTCCTCAGGGTCGGTCTAGTCCATTTCTGGGCATATGTGAGAGTTAAATTAGCGATCAATCGATGATGTTTCATTAGATCAATCAGGATATATATACAAAGTATCTCATGCGCATAGGCTGAGTGTTTGGCTAAGAATTATAAACGTAAATTACTCAACTAACCAACCGACTCTTCTTATCACATGTATATATGAGTCAGCTAGTAATTATCTAAATACATATACACAAAATAATAAGAGTTTAATCAAGGCTGGAGACCTCCTTATGCACGTGGGTTTGCTGGCATGCAATTTCAATTATAATACGTTGCACTGCATGTGTTATTACGCCCCCGCAGTTGAAGCGGGCGGAGGTTGGACGCTGAGACTGGAACGAAACTCTTCAAACAGAATACGGGGAAGACCTTTAGTAAAGATGTCCGCAAATTGGTGACGAGAGGGAACATGTAAGACACGGACATCCCCGCGAGCCACCTTCTCTCGTACAAAATGTATGTCTATTTCGATATGTTTGGTCCGTTGATGTTGGACCGGATTTACAGACATATAGACAGTGCTGATGTTATCACAATAGACAATGGAGGCTTTCTGTAGAGGAGAATGCAGTTCAAGAAGCAGATTGCGTAACCAGCATGTTTCGGCAACGACATTGGCCACTCCGCGATATTCTGCTTCGGCACTGGATCGGGAGATGGTAGGCTGGCGTTTGGAGGACCAAGAGAGTAAGTTATCCCCCAAAAAAACACAATATCCAGAAGTAGAGCGGCGCGTGTCCGGACACCCACCCCAGTCAGCATCCGTGTAAGCAACAAGAGAGGTGACCTTAGAGGGACGGAGAGTAATGCCGAGGTGAGAGGTTCCACGCAAATAGCGAAGGATGCGTTTGAGTGCATGGAGATGAGGCGCCCGAGGGTCGTGCATAAAGAGGCAAATTTGTTGAACAGCATATGAGATATCGGGCCTCGTAAAAGTAAGATATTGAAGAGCCCCAGCAAGACTACGATAAAGAGAGGGATCATCTACGGGGGGACCGGAGTTGCTACTCAATTTGGATTGAGTGTCTACTGGAGTGGCTACTGGATTGCAATTGTCCATGCCTGCTCGAGTGATAATGTCCGTAGCATAGGTCTGTTGGGAGAGGAAAATACCAGTGGGGTGACGCTGGACCGAAATTCCCAAAAAATAGGAAAGTGGGCCGAGATCAGTCATTGCAAATTCAGTATTGAGATGGGACATGATAGCATGGCGGAGATGATCAGAAGAGGCAGTGAGGATGATGTCATCAACGTACAATAATATGTATGCGGTATCATTATGGCGCCGGAGAATGAAGAGTGAATGATCACACTTGCTGTGTTGAAAACCAATGGCGGCAACAGAGGAGGCAAAGCGATGATACCATGCACGTGGAGCCTGTTTGAGGCCATAAAGGGATTTGAGGAGGCGGCAAACATGAGTGGGACGAGATGCATCACGAAAGCCGGGCGGTTGGTGCATATAAACAGTTTCCTCCAATTTACCGTGGAGGAAAGCGTTTTTGACGTCCAACTGATGAAGGGGCCAAGAGTGAGATAGAGCCAAGCTGAGCACAGTACGAATAGTAGCCGGTTTGACCACCGGGCTGAAAGTTTCATCACAGTCAACCCCCACCTGTTGAGAATTGCCATTGACAACCAAGCGGGCTTTGTGACGTTCAAGAGAGCCATCTGACCTGAACTTATGTTTAAAAAGCCACATACAACGAATAATATTAACATCAGGTGGGCGGGGAACCAACTCCCACGTCCTATTTTTAATTAGAGCACTAAATTCGTCATCCATGGCGGCTTTCCAGTTTGGGTCATGAAGGGCGGTGATAGGAGATTTGGGTATGGGAGAGGGGGATGTGATGACCGAAAGATTAAGAGGGAGTCTGGGTTTGTGTACACCGGCTTTGGAACGGGTGATCATAGGGTGACGAACACGAGAAGTGGGAGATGGGATAATAGGTGGGGTTGACGTATGTATGGGTGGAGTAGGAGATATTGGGACAGGTGGGGAAATAGGGAGGGGATTAGTGGGTTGCCTATTATGCATGGGGCCTGGAGTGGAAGGCCATGCAAATAATTCAGGGACACGTACGGAGAGATGAGATGGCTCATCAAGGAAATTATATGATGAGGGTATAGGTGGGGAATTTTGAAAGGGAAATGTCTGCTCATTAAATGTTACATGCCGGTTGACAGTTATTTGATGAGTGGATATATCGAGACATAGGTAACCTCGATGATTATCCGGATAACCCAGAAATATACAAGGTTTTGAGCGAGGCTCGAGTTTGTGTATGGTAGCGGATGGTGTATGGGGAAAACATAAACACCCAAAGACACGAAGGTGAGTGTAAGTGGGAACACGGTGGTATAGAACAGTGGTAGGGGTATGATAGTTAAGGGAATGAGCAGGGAGAATATTGTATAAATAATTAGCCATTTTAATGGCGTGAGGCCAGAAAGTGGGAGGTAGGGAGGCGTGAATAAGTAATGTACGGGCCATATTATTGAGAGTCCGTAGAGTTCTTTCAGCCTTTCCATTTTGGGGGGAAGTATATGGGCAAGAATATCGAAAGTGGATTCCATGAGAGGCACCAAAATTATGAAACGAAGTGTTTTTAAATTCGGTGCCATTATCACATTGAACGACTTTTATATTACGCTCAAATTGAGTTTGTATGTATTTATAGAAATTGACAAATACAGAATATGTTTGAGATTTGGCATGGAGAGGATAAACCCACAAGAATTTAGAATAATCATCCAAGAAAATTACATAATAGCGATAACCACAAGAACTTAAAACAGGAGAAGTCCAAATATCACTATGTATTAAATCAAATGGATGATATGTAATAGACATGGATGATTGAAATGGTAATTTGATATGCTTTCCCATTTGACAGGATGTACAAAGGGAAGCATTCAATTTATTACAAGAAATGTTATGCTGCCTAAGAAAATGAAAAATCGGATCGCCAGGATGACCGAGCCGATTGTGCCAAATTTCTGCGGGTGTGACAAGTAAAGCGGAAGACGAAGTGGTGAGTGAGCCAGGACTGGGAGATACGGGGTAGAGATGGCCGGAACTGTTACACCTCAGAACCTGTGCCCCCGAATGGAGATCCTTCACAGAAAAACCAAACGGGTCAAATTCCACGGAAACATTATTGTCAGAGGTGAATTGACGAACAGAAACAAGATTTTTAATTAAGTGAGGGGCATGGAGAACTTTTTGTAAATGAAGAGGGTGATGAGAGAAGGGAAGAATAGTATTACCATGACCCAAAACAGGAATGGAATTTCCGTTACCAACCAAAATACGATCAATAGTACTCGAATTAAAATAGGGTGTGAGAGTACCTGCAGATGACGTCATATGGGAAGTGGCCCCGGTATCCATGTACCAATTTGGATCTGGTGGAGATAGGGACATGGTATGCATGGCAGCGGTGACATCAGTAGGGGTCTGTGTGGGCATGCTTAAATGTGCCTGTTGCGGGGAAGGGCCAAGAATGCCAGCAGAGCGAGATGGTGGAGCCGCACCTGACCATGGGGTGGTTGGGTAAGGACAAGGGGGTGCTGCCCAAGGAGGTGACGGCCAGTATGGCCATGGAGGAAATGACCACGGTCCAGGGCGGGGATTGCCACCGGACGAAGGTGGACCACTGTCGGAGCGAGTAGAACGGCCTCTACCACCACGAGAGGACCCAGTGCGGCCGCGGGATCGTGAGTTGCGGTTGTCGGGACGGGCAGCCGGGACCACAGCCGGGGAGGATGCACCTGGGCGACCTGGGGGACCGCCCGGACCGGTATGCAGCATGGCAGAAGCTGTAGGATTGGACTGGAAATTCTTGCGATCTTCTTCAAGAAGAAGCATGGAGCGAGCCTGACTAAAGGGCGGCAGTGGCACGGCCTGTTGGATAAGGGAGGCGACGGTATCATATTGCTCCGACAATCCCTGAACCAACCGGAGGACAAGACGTTCATTTTTAACTGGAGCGTCAACATTGGCCAATTTATCAGAGAGAAGTTTCAACGCCTGGCAGTAAGCACTGATGTTGGGAAATTGGTCAAGGCGAGTATTGGAAAACTGGTTTTCCAAATAGACCGCCCGAGAATTCTTGTTGTCCTGAAAAATGTCCTCAAGGCGCTTCCAAGCAAGTTGGGCAGTAGAGTCTGGCACGATGATCGTGTGAAGCAGATCGTGGGAAATAGTCCCATAGATCCATTGAAGGACGATCGCATCAAGACGATCCCAAAGATTTTTGGATTTGTAACACCCCGGCCCCACCGGACCCGAGGTAGTTACTCCGGACCAATAGTACTGTCCCCACAAACCACCACGAGCCTTTACCGCGCACTTTGTCCTCACTCATGCGCGCCCTGAGAAACTTCCCAGGGGGTCACCCATCCCAAGACTACTCCCGTGCAAGCACGCTTAAC